CTTGAAGTTTGGTACGCAGGCGGAATAGCAGGAGAATCAAGCCGACAATTTAGCGATAACTCCTTGTTGCCTTTTCCGGCATCGCCGATGTTATAATGTTATTCGTTATCCTTCCTCCATGCTTCTTTTTCCTCATTGTCGTTATACCCTGCGCATCCTCCCCATCCTCCTCAGCTCTTTTTTGCGGAAGCTCCTGCTTGGAGAGCCTCTCGGGGGCCCTCACAAAAGTCGTTTCAAGCTTTCTCAAGGCCTTCTGGAGGCCTCCTGGGCGTATTCTGGGGGCTTCTGGGGGCTTCCTCGGGCCACCCTGCCTCCAACCGCGGTCTCCCTGAACGACCAGGCCACGATTTGGAATGCTTCGGAGGGTGTCTTGGGGCCATCTTGGGCCGCCATGGGGCTCTCTGAGGGCCATCTTGGACCCGTGTTGTGCCGTTTTGGGGCTCTCTTGGACTGCCTGGAAGTCCTTTCGGATGGTTGTGGGGCGATTTGGGAGCCTCCCAGGCGGCTTCGGACGCCCAGTAGACCGCCGTCTTGGAGCTTTTTCCAAGGTCAGGCCTGTCGCAAGCAGCTAGGGCCGAGAGAGCGCCGAGGGGCGCTGGAGGGCGAATCAGGTGTCGAGGAGGCGGGAGCCCTTGCCCTTCGCCTTGCCCCCGAACGGGATCCCCTTGTCCTTGCCGATGCCCATGGACGGCTTACCGTTGGTGGCGTCCTCGGCCGTGGCAAGGTGCGCGGAGGTCCAGCCGAACTCCGAAGTCGTGAGCACGTAATGGGATCCAGCCATGCGCGAGGACGAGTTGGCGCCACACTCCGAAAGGATCTTCGCCGTGTGGGTGTCCGCCTTCATGATGTTGATGGCTCCGTTGTGGAACCGCGTGTTCTCCAGGATGGAGTCCGAGTTGAGGCCGCACTCCGAAAGGTTCTGCGCCTTGTGGATGTCCGCCTTCACGATGTCGCTCTTGCACATGATGTGGCACGCGTCCTCCTGCAGGAAGGCGTGCCTGGAGGTCGCACGGACGACGGTGTCGTCGTCGCCGTACTTGTTCTTGAGCTTCTCCTCGTGCAGGGTGCCACGCAAGGTGTAGCTCTCCTCCTCACTCAAAGCCACGTCGTCCGCAGCCTCTAGGGTCGAGTCAGAGTTGGCGCCACGCTCCGAAAGGATCTCGTCGTGTGGATGTCCGCCTTCATGATGTCATCCTTGTTGCACATGATGTGGCACGCGTCCTCCTGCAGGGGTGTGTGCCTGGAGGTCGCGCCGAAGACGCTGTCCTCGTCCCCGTACTTGTTCTGGAGCTTCTCCTCGTGCAGGGTGCCGCGCATGGTGAGGCTCTCCTTCTCACTCGTAGCCGCGACGTCCGCAGCCTCTGTGAAGTACTCGTCCTTCGTAGTGATGTCGTTCTTGGTGGCTCCAGCGTGGAACCGAGTGTTCTCCAGGAGCGATTCCGAGTTGACGCCACGCTCCGAAAGGTTCTTCGCCGTGTGGACGTCCGCCTTAATGATGTCGTTCTTGTTGCACGTGATGTGGCACGCGTCCTCCTGCTGGAAGGTGTGCCTGGAGGTCGCATCGACGACGTTGTCCTCGTCCACGTACTTGTTCTGGAGCTTCTCCTCGTGCAGGGTGTCGCACATGATGAAGCTCTGCTTGTCGTTGTCCAGCTCGGGCCCCAGGTCGGAGCCAACCGAGCCTTCCGTGGAGAACTCCTCGATGCCGCTCTGCACGCCCAGGGTGGCCTCCGCTGTCGCCAGCCAGGCCTTGAGGCGGCAAAGAACATCGTGCGCGGCTCCAGGATGGCGAATGAGCGCCGACGCCCCGTCGAGGATCCGGCACTCCCGCTCGAGGTCCGACGGCGGCCGCACACCAGCGTCCCGGCGCTGCTGCCAGCCTTTGGCCAGCGTGCTGCCGCCCACCACGGCGACGAGCTCGGCGGCGGCACCAAGCACGTCGCGGGCGGCACCACCAAGCACCGGTAGTGGAACTTCGCCAGGAGCGGCTGGAAGAAGGGCGACGGGAGCCGCCGCCCGCTTCGTGACCACGGCCATCAAGTCCGCCGCTTCGCCGACAGACCGGGCCCACGCCACCGCTGCGCCATGCCGGACAGGGATTCCGCCTTGCTGCCGTGGCATGGGGATGAAGGGCGCGTCGGGAGCCCGGCGCGCCGTGTGCCGCTTGAGCCAAAATGGCTACGGACTCCGTCTTGGAGCGTCGGGAAGCCGAAAAGAGGAGAACCCCCAAATTCACCAAAAACCAACAGAAAATCAATGATTTTTGCCTCTTGGGGCCTTCTTGGGAGTGCTGCTGGAGGCCTCTTTGGGGCCGTCCTGGAGGCCTCTTGGGCGATCTTGAGGTCACGTCGGTCACTCTTGGGGGTCTCTGGGACGTCTCCGATGACCCCCCTGATCGCCCCACGTGTGCTGGGAAAGCTTGGCAAAACGCCCTGCGAGGCCCGGGGTGCTCATTCGAGGCCCGTCCGGAAGGTCCCAAAGCCCCAGATCCCGGGAGTCCGGTTTTGGGGGGGGTCCCCCCGCCCAGGCTTGTAAAACAATAAGAAGAGGAATACATATATATATATATATATATATATATATATATATAATATATAGATATATATGTATATATATATAATTTCGATATTCCAGTACCCGGAATCCCCCCCCCATAAACCAGACCCCGCCCCCAACGATGCCGCGGACACCCTTTCGGACGTCTCGGCGGCCCCCTGGACGCCCTTGGAAAAGGTCCGCTGGCCCTTCCGGGCCTCCCAGGGCGCCTTGCCAGGCCTTGCGAGCATATTCAAAGCGATCAGAGGGGTCATCGGAGAGGCGCAAGAGAGACCCAAGACAGCACAAGAGCGCTCCAAAAGTAACTTCGATGGTCCGAAGACGGCCCACGAGGCCACCAAGACGCCCCAAGAGGCCGTTAAGAGAGCCCCGAAGAAGCAAAAATCGTCCCATTCCCTTTGAGGAGATATGTATTTGTAGCATATCCGCTTTTTTCGTCTTCGCAGCGTCCAAGACGGCCCGATGGGCCCCGGATATCGCCCCAAGACGGCCCAAAGGGCCCCCCAGAGGGTTTGAAGACGGCTCGAAAGGGCCCCAAGACTGCCCCAGAGAGCCCCGAGACTGCCCACAGAAAGCCCAAGATGCCCCAAGAAGGCTCCCAAGAGAGACACACGAGAGCCACTGGGGACCCCCAAGAAGGCCACTGGAAGCCCCCAAGAAGGCCCTAGATGGCTTCAGAAGACCTCGGGAAGGCCCCGGCTCCACTTAACGGCCGAAGGAAGCTCCAGGACGGCCCGGGAGGGTCCCAGGACGGCCCAAAAGAGCACCAAAAACGCCCAGACGGCGTCATCTGTGCGCTCGTTCTCTCTCTCTCTCTCTCTGTCTCTTTCTCTGTCTCACTTTTTAACCCCTTGCCCCCTGTGATTTTTGTCGACCTCCACGTTCGTGGCATCCGATGGCCATTCTCATTCGGCCGCTCCTTCCTCTGGACCTTATCCCCGTTTCTCCTCCTCCTCCCCCCATTCCGCCTCTTCAGTCCCCCCCTCATCCCTGCTCCCTTCCCGTTCCCAGTTCATGGGCAGGTGCCATCGCAGCAGTTTGATGCTTCGTCGTTTGCCAACACCGTCGCGCGGGGGAAAAAAACATCGTTCCTTCCCCACTCCTGCGCACATGCGTGTAAGCGTATCGGGCGAGCGCGGCGTCAGCCAACACCAGGGATATCAGAAAAATGAGCCGATCGCCCCCCTTGCTGAAGCAAGCGATGATTTATTGTTTTGCCGGGTAGGCGTCCGGAACAAGGCGCATGGCGCGAAGCGCCAACGCAGTCTTGCACATTTCTACTGTATGTTTATGTGTAGATATAAGATAGAACAGTTCACGGATTGAGGGCGGGTAAATGTCAAAATGTGGCTCTCGCCTGAGGGCCGCGCACACTCGTCTGAAACAGTTGCATACGCTCCACGGGTTGAGGGCGGTTCCTATTGAAAATGTGACTCTCGCCACAGCGCCGCGCACTTTTGTCGCAAACATTTGCAGAGTTTCGCTGGTTCCAGGGACAACGAACCAGAAACTGCGTTGGGGAACGATTCAGGACTGTCAGGGCGCAACAGTTACGTTGATTCGCGGTGGGTGAAATCCGAGGAATGGTGTTCTGGCCAGATTCAGGATCGTCGACACGCAACAGCCAAGTTGATTGGTGTTTTGGCCCCGTTCAGGATGATCGAATGGTTGTCTCTCAACGGGCCCCCTCTCCCAGTGGAGCTGAATCCTTGTAAGGGGCCTATGAAGAGGGAGCTTGGGGGAGGTTAATTCCAACATCGTTGATGACTCTTGGGTTTCTATTGGTCCTCCTTCCCCTCCTCGTCGTCGTCGTCGTCGTCGTCCGTCGGGGGGCACATGGGCATCTTGGTCTGCCTCGAGACTTCTAGGGCCCTACAATATCAGATTGGGGACTTCGGGGAACCTTCCCGAAGCTCCCATGGGCCGAACGCTCGGGGACGCACGAACACAACAAAAACTTCCCATGCGACTGCCCGAGGGCTCTTCACCGAGCCGGGGGGGACTTCGTCGGTCCCCATTGGGCCGTCGCGGCTCCTCGCGGGAGGCGTCTGGACACACAACCGTTTCTTTCTGCTGTTGGCGGGGGGGCTGGGCTGCCTGCCCACTGAGAGCCCTCTCGCCGAAGGGAGTCCGGAAGCGCCTGGATCGACGGAGCGGGGCTTTCGAAGCCCAGGGGGAAGGGTGGGCCCAAACCAAGGCGTGTCGTCAATCTTTGCATGTAGGGGATAGGTTTGACTGGGGTTGCATGCTTCGTGGCTGAAGCTCGGGGCAATACGGTGTCTCATGTGTTGTGCAGAGTTTGCTGGCGCCGTAGTCGGATAGTGGCAGTGGCTTGTTGCTGCGTCGCGGACGAATGCTCCTACAACAAGTGCCGCCTCCAGCGAGAGCATGGGCACGTTCCTCATCCTCGTCCTGATCTGGTCCCCCCTTCCTCCTTCACCTTTGGCGTAAGAGAAGTGCTCAGGGCCACACCCATCACTCAAACGCCCCGTTTTGGGTTATGGCTTGGTGATGATGGTAGCACGCCGAGGCCAAGGAAAAATAGGAGCTGAACAAAATGGCTGGGCGTTGAATGAATGGCGCTGCTGGATGGATTTGGACCTGGCTGTCGCACACGGCTGCCGCACCTGGCTGCCATGCGGGTGACAGCTGGCAACCGCGCCAACTACGACACAAAAAATCCCACCAGCCCTCTGGGCGTAAGTGGTTTAGGTTGTTTCCTCTTCCACCCCTTCCTCTTCCCCTTCGGGGAGGGGTTCATCACTGTTCCCTATTAAGAAACACCCCCTCCCCCACCTGGCCGGCAGCCAACCGGAAACCATGCGGGCCCCCCCCCCACCATCCCTGACAAAAAAACAAAACAAAATGCACATTGCGGGGCCCACCCTGCCAGCACCCTCCACAATCCCTGTCAAAAAACAATAATAAGTGCACATTGCAGCAAATCTGGACTGTGCGCTGGCGCCCTGTGAGCACCTTGCATTGTTGTTTGACAGGGATGGCGGGGCACCCTAATTTAGTGAAGCCGCTTTGTGCAGGACCACCATCCGTGTCAAAGACAATCCAAAGTGCACGTTGCGACAACGTCGTGGGCATTGTGCTGGCTACCCGCGATCACTTTGTATTTCTTTTGACAGGGATGGCGGTGGTGCCAGCATGATGATGCTTGCTGTGCGCAGGCCGAGAACAATGCTGACGCCCCCCACGTCAGCATCTGGACCATGCGGACGCATCAGGCTTTTTACAAGGATGGCACACCAACCGCACGTGGAGCGCGCGGCGAGCGTCGCGCACCTGGCGTCCGCTTTGGTTCCCAATGGCTGTCCATCCAGTGGCGACCCCTGGCTATGCCGAGACGCGCATGCCACTAATGTGGTGGGAGGGCGGGTGGGAGTAAGCTAGACGGCTTGCGTGCGGAGAGGGTGTCTTGATCCCTCCCCCTACCCCTTCCCCTGGACCTGGACGGGGCCGGTCGCGGGTAGTTAGAGGGGCCAAATCGGCCTCGGCGAGGAAGCCAAAATCATTGGCTTTACCAGGGTTTGGGCCCCATGTTCTCTTCTTGGGGGGGCAACACTAAAATAGGCTCTCCTCTTCTTTGATCGATGGTCCCCAAGATGGCGCCAAGAAGCGCCGAGGAGGCCCCAAGAGGTCCCAAGATGGCCCCAAGATGGTCCCAAGAGGCCCCCAAGAGGCCCCTAGGAGGCCCCCAAGAGGACCCCAAGTGGCCCCAAGAGGCCCCCCCGAGGCACCCAAGACGCCCAATAGCCGCCCAGGACTGCCAAGAGACCCCCAATACGTCCCAAGATGCCACCAAGAAGCGCCCAAGAGATACCCCAAGAGGCTCCGAGAGGCATCCAAGAGACCTCTGGCCCTTTTGCCTGCCCTCCTCCTCCTCCTCCTGCTCCTCCTCCTCAGTATCATCCTGTACATCCTCCTTCGCCCCACTCCCTCATCCATCCATCCAGCCTCCTCCTTCTCCTCCTCCCTCCTTCGCACGGTTCGGCCGTCCCCCTCGTTGCTCCCGCACTTCCCTGATCACCTCAACACGCCTGGACATCGTTTCTGGATGGGCTGGTGGGGATACGCGAAGCGTCTAGAACTTTTCTCGCCCTTCCATCCGCACCTGTTCGCCCTGTTAACTGTCGCCGCAAAACCTAGGGAACAAAAATTAGCGCTTGCAGCGGCGCTGTGTTAAACCGAGTGTCGAGCAACCGAAACATTGAATTTCGCGCATGCCCGTGAACCTGTATGTATATGTATGTATATATATATATATACAAAACCCGTCACGCGCGCTTCGCGCGCGCTCAAGTTCTAGCTAGGCTTGATAGACGAACTCATGTAATCTCATGTTGGTCGCTTCTTGCGTCCAGGGACTCCCTTGGAGGCCCTGCGCGAGCCTTGGAATCGTATCTTTAGGTATTCCACGATTTGGGGCCCTCAAAGGCTTCCTGGGTTCTTTTTGGGGGAGGTGAGGGGGGTCCGAATTGTGGTCTGCTGTGCAAGAGTAGACCGAGGTTCTGGAACTCCCTCCCTCCCTCCCTCCCTCCCTCCCTCCCTCCCTCCGCCTCCTGGAGGCCTGGAGAGCCGTGCGACGGGTGTCTCGGGCTGCGCGGGAGCATGTTGGGCCGTTGTTTACATTTTGGGGGCTCCTTGGGGTCGTCTTGAGCTGTCCTTAGGCGCCTTGGGGGCCCCCCGGGAAGCCGGGAGGCGCGGTACTGGCCAGATGTCAGGGGATGTGTGGGATCTTCGAGTAGAAGCCACTCTCTCTCAAAAAAAAGGAACTCTGGGAATTTCTTTGTTTCCTCTAAATCGTCGATCTTCGAGGGTTGGAAGCGGGAAAACGTGAGAAGGCGAGAAATACTGGAAAAACCATTGGAAATCAACGACTTTACCCTCTTCGGGCTCTTTCGGGACGGCTCTCGCAGCTCTCTTGGGCTGTTCTTGGATGCCTCGAGGGTTTTTTAGCCGGGCCCCTCAAGGGTCTTACAAGACGGCTTTCTGGCGGAGTTCCTTGGGTCGGTCCCCGACAAGCCGAAGGGGGGTCTGGCAGAGAGCCCAAGAGGCCTGGAAGAGATGGGCCAAGTACGGCGCCATGAGTGAAGGGGAACTGGGACACACAAATAAATAGACACAAATGACCAGATTCCCCATAGTTTCCCATATCTTCTGGGTTCTTGTCTTCCCCCCCACTTCCCATTTTTTCCCATATTTTTGGGGGAATCGACGATTAATAGTGTCTGTGTGTGTGTGTGTGTGTTTTTTCCCCTCCTGAATGAGGTCCAAGGGTGGCTTCAAGGGCAGCCCAAGAGGGCCTACAGGCGGAGCTTCTCGGGTCAGTCGCTGGCGATTCGGCGGCAGCTTCGAGAGCGGACCCAAGGAGCTCTGTCGAGAGGGCCCACAGATGGCCCCATGATGGCCAGAGATGACGCCAAGAGGGGTCCAAGAGAGCTTCCATGCGGGGCCCCTTGGGTCGGCCATCGAGAGGGCGACAGGGGACTCGGGGGAGGACCCAAGGAGCCCCGAAGAGAGGGCTCAAGAATGAGCCCTTTGAGCCTCAACGATAGCTCCAGAGTGGCTGAAGAGAGCTTCCAAGCGCGGCTGCTTGGGTCGGTCTCTGAGATGGCGGGGGGGCATTGTGGCAAAGGGCCCGTCCTGGGCCCGCCTTGAGCTTGTCTTGGGAAGCTTTTGGGCGGTCTTGGGGCGGTCTTGGGAGTCTCTTCAGTCGTCTCTGAGCTTTGGAAGCATGAAAAATTAATAAAATCAGAACCTTCGGGAACAAATATCAAAATTCAATGATTTTGTTGCTCTCTGGGCTCTCTCAGGACGTCTCTCGGAGTTCTCTTGCAGTGTCTTGGAGCCGTCTGGAGGCCTCCTGGGAGTCTGGAGAGCCGTCCACAGACTGCTTTGGACTGCTTGAGAGCATCTTCGGCTGTTCTTTTGCATTCTGAGGTGTTCTTGGGGCTGTCTTGGGGCGTCCTGGAGCGTTTTGGGAGCTCCCTGGGAGGCTGGGGGGCGCGGTTCTGGGCGCCTCTTCTGCAATTTTGAGGGTTTCTTGGCCCGTCTTGGACCCGTCCTGGGAGTCTTTTGGGCGGTCTTGGGGCGGTCTTGGACCGTGGGAAGCTCGAAAACGCGACAAGGCCAAACACATGTAAAAATAATATAAATCGAAGATGTTGGCCTCTTCGGGCCGTCCCGGGACGCCTCTCGGACCTCTCTTGAGGCCTTTTGGAGGCCTCCTGGGAGCGTGGAGAGCCGTTCACAGTATGTTTTGGACTGCTTGGGAGCGTCTTGGGCCGTTCTTCACGTTCTGAGAGGTTCTTGGGGTCATCATGGGCTGTCCTTCGGCGTCTTGGGGTCTCCGCGAGAAGCCGGGAGGCGCGGTACTGGCCAGATGTCAGGGCATGGACCCCCGAGTAGTTCCACTTTGAAAAACAAAACTTGAAATTCCTTTTTTTCGAAATCCTCGATCTTTGAGGGTTGGGAGTAGGAAAACGTGAGAAGGCGAAACACATGTTGGACAAAACCATTAGAACTCAACGATCTTACTCTTTTTGGGCTCCCTCGGGACGGATCTCGCAGCTCTCTTGGGCTGTTCTTGGAGCCTCGTCGGGTCTGTTTGGGGCCTCTCAGGGATCGGGGGTGTGTTGGGGGCCTCTGGGTGGTCCTGGAGGCCTCTCGGAGGTCTCTGGAAGCCTCCTGATCCCGCTCTTGGGCCCATCTTGGGCCTGTTCTGGGGTGGTCTGGGGCTGTCCTGGGCGCCTCTGCGGCAGTCTTGGAGCCTTCTTGGCCCGTCTTGAGGCCGTCCTGAGGGTCTATTGGGTGGTCTTGGGGCGGTCTTGGGAGCCTCTTCGGTGCTCTTGGACCGTCGGAAGCTCGAAAACGCGAGAAGCCAAAAACAGATGTTGGCCTCTTCGAGCCGTCCTGGGACGCCTATCGGACCTCTCTTGGGGTCTCTTGGATGCCACCTGGGAGCCTCGAGAGCCGTCGGAAGGCTGACTTGGGCTGCTTGGGAGCGTCTTGGGCCATCCTTCTGCATTCTGGGGGCTTCTGGGAGGCGTCTTGGGCCCTCCTGGAGCGCTGTGGAGGCTGCCTGGAAAGGCCGGGGGAGCGGTACTGGGAGCGTTCCCGAGATGTGGCGGGGAGGTGTGGGACCCTGGGCCGGGGGGCGCGGTATTTATTTATATTGTATACGTTTGTATGTGTATATATATATATATACATTATATATATATATATATATATAGATACACGTATGTGTGTATGTGTGTTCGTGCTCTTCGTCATACTTGGTTAGACTGATCCCTGACCCCCCCATCCCCCCCCGTTCATTCGGATCTCTGGGGTACCTGGGCCCGCGGGTTTCAACGCCTGCTGGACGTCCTCGGTTGCACTGGGGGACGTGCTCAAGGCGGCCATTGCCACACGTCCCCAAGAGAGCACCACACACACCAATCTATGTGTTCCCGAATGTTTTTGTACGACTTGGCGTCATTCGCTAGAATCAGAGATCGCCCTAGACGGGCCAAGAGGGGCCCAAGATCGCCCTGCCAACATAATCTTAAGACGGTCAAACGCACTATCCCCAAGACGTCACAGTAGGGTCCCAAGACGGCCCCACAAAAGCCTCACACCTAATTACGCAGTGGCGGAATGAGCCGAAATTCACTATATCTGGCACCCCCTCAGTTTCACAAGGGTGCCTGACGTGCTGGACATGTTACTTGTTTCACCATTCTTCACATGCCCCGAGAGGAGTCCAAGATGGCCCCAAGAAGATGCCTCCA